CTTGAGTAAGACATTTGAACACCATCTTGGCTCGGCGGGGGAGGAGGATTTGAAAAAATCAATTTTCAAAAGTTCGAATGCCCTGGTGTATACCCGGGAAGATGTTGAAGCTTCCAATTGATCGACGCATTACTCTCGCTGCCTTTTGAAGGAGACCCTCGTCTATAAGAGCAAGTCCAAGACTTTGAAGAAATGAGAGACTTTGAGACTGAAACGAAAAGCACTGAAAGAAAGTCATTGAGGCAAAAGCTAACGAGACTTCGAGATCGGATAAACACTTTGTGAAACCTGGTGTCGCAATTTTTGGGACGGGAAAAGTGGGAGGGGAGGGTGTTTAAAAAACGCACTGTCGGGAGCCAACAGGAAGTCATATCATTTCTTCTCGCTTTCATGAATATTGTGTAAAGTCTCTTTTTGGTTGGTAATTGTTAAACAGAAGCTTTCTTCATAAATTTCAATGACACTTCTGTGAAGTGGCAGTGGGGTTTTCAGAGCTTGTACAGCATTTAAAGAGTTGCTATGCTCTTATGTTTATTTTTTTTGTGAGAAATTCCAGCGGGCTGAATACTTACAGTTTTATTAGATATTGGAGCTATTTTTCCGGTTTTCTTTCGAGGCACATAACGGCTAGGGACGCTTTTGGAAATTTAACTGAGGCAGCCTGGTTAAAATCTGCGAGAAAAGACCATTTTACAGCTGTCGATCTGAACAATGTCACGCGGGTCTAAATGATCTCTTTGTTCATTATATCCTCCGTAGCTCAGACTCCTGCTCACTTTAGGGGCTTACACAGTCAATTAGGGTTACAATCTTGAATTGCCTTCAAAAAGGTCGTGTGATAAGTGTCACCCGAGGATCCCTTACCCTCAGCGAATTTTGCAAAAAAAATTAATGTCTTACCCTCGCACATAAAAATTTAATCAGTTGCCTCAGATCAGTTTAAGCGAAAATACGAGATATTAACAAGTTAAAAATCAGCTCAGGGCTCAAAATTCTAAGAATTCGAGCGTCATCTATATACAAGTTTATTGTGGGAATTTGATCATTACGTCTTGCTTCCGTGCGGAGCCAAAACTATCAAAAACAACGATTTAGCGGCATGATCAAGTGAAGACTTTCGTCACCATGAAAACAGACGTAATTTTTGGAATTTCTGTGGCACTAAGCCATTGCTAAATTTGTTTTTATTTTAACTGCTTCGCTTTGTGTAGTGTAGCTTCGCTTTAGGTAGCTGTCCTTCTTATTTTGACGTAAATCATAAATCTCCTGGGGTTTATTTCCTTTTTATCAAAATAGTAACATAATCATTGTGTTGAGAGACTTAGAGGGGAGGGGGAGGAGAGGAGGCAAGTGGGATTCCTCCCCTCCCCTCTAATTTCTCGCATCGTTTCTCTTTCATTTCTTTTATTTAAACTTATTTAAATGATGCAGACTTATCAATGACGTCAACGTCAACTAGCTTTTATTCGGTCTGTTGTCTTTCTGCTTGCTTCCATATTTCCGCAGTTAAATACGAAACGCAACTGACTTATGTCGCTCTGTTGATTTCGACCTCGTCGATTCCTCAGCGTGAAGAAGATCAAGCTCCGTTAAAGTAGAACAAGACGTTTGGATACCATCATGATTTCAGCCTGGATCTTGATTACATTTTGTGGTGAGTGAGAATTCTTTCATGCGAATGATTAATACGCAAATTTCACTTCACTGATCATTCGTGCAACAAATGCATCTAGAAGTCCCATCTGTTTGCTTTTACAGGCCAGAAGTTTGAATTATCATTCTGAACTTGATTT